GAACTCTTGCCTCAGCCTCCTGAGTGGTAGGACTATAGGCATGCACCATCACACCTGGCCTTTCTGAGAATGTCTTTTATTTTTTATTTTTAAATGTATGTTGTACAGGGCCTCACTACGCAGCTCAGACTCATAGTGATCCTCCTGCTTTTAGCCTCCCAGTGCTGGGATTACAGGCATGCACCACCAGGCCCAGTTGTTGTGGCTGGCTTAGTGCCCCTGGGAGCAGGGCTGGTATAGCATGTGGTGCCAGGATCAAACCCTGGTCCCTGCACTTGTCTAAGCAGGTGCTTAGTCAGCTGAGCTATCCCACCAGCCCTTTGAGAATGTCTTGATCTCTCCTTCATTCCTGAATATTTTTTCCAGACTTGACAGAATTCTGGAGAGTTCAAGTGAATGGCTTTTAAACTTTTCTATCTCATTGCCCCTTAGTTTTTGGCTTTGGTGTGCTGGAAGTCTGGGATTGTATCTTGTTTCAGTGTCTTCTCATTTTTTATTTTTTTTAGCTTGGTTACTAGGTTGACGCTGATAAATTGCTTATGGCAGGTAGCTGTATTGCTAGGATTCAGAATCTCTTACTTCTCAGAGATGTCTTCTAGGTGCAGCTGGTTTTTGGGTTTCGTTGGAAGATCCTACCTCTTCAATGTATTGGGGATGGGAAGTTGTTGCTATCTGGCCTAGACCCTGGTCTTTGGCACTGTACTATAGTATAGCGTATGACCCTTAGGCAATCTCAGTCTTGGCATAGCAGTTAGAACAACAGACCAGAACAATTATGTCACGCTGACTAAAGTAGTACAGTCAGCAACAACAATAGCAAGAAACACAGCCTAAAAAATGACACACTGTGGTAACTATTTGCCAGTCAAGTGCTTATCCTACTGAGCCATCTCCCCGGCCCGACTGTGGTAACTATTAATTTGGCATTTTAAACCACATGAACTAGATTTGTGGTTATATAACAATTTCTAAAATGAACCAGGAAAGTGTATGCAGTCAATATGCTTTCAATTTGGCAATTTTATCCTCAGGGAAGAAAACTTAAAAGGAGTTGGTGGAGAAATAGACAAGCAGAAGATGTAGAGATCAGAAACAAGGCTGCAGGACAAGGGAAGATCATATGAACTTTGGGAAACTGGTGAAAACCAGAAGGGAAAGAGAAGGAAGAGATAAAAACAAGAACAGAACAACAAAAATCTAGAAACAATGTTCACATTAATATAAAAACAAATTATCATGTAAAAAAAAATTCTGCTTCAAGATGTATCTCTGTTGTGGCTGGTAGCAAGGGCAGAAGAATCCAGATACATGTTAATTAATTCCAGGAAGCCAGCAGCAGATGTATGGCGGGATAGTGGGTAATCCCAGGAGGCCTTTCGTTCCACTGAAGTTCAAGTTGGTTTCTGGTTGCAAGGCTGGAATCCAGTTTGTTCAGCCTGCAACACTTCATGTGCCTTGTGCCAGCTTGAAGTCCTCGACCTCCTGGTGACTTGAACCGTGTCTCTCCCTGACACTGGGAGCCTCTAGATGGAGCCAGCCCTCAGCTGCTCTGAATGCTGAGCTCACTTGGCCCTTTTCCAAGATGGTGGCCAGCCAACTGCCCTCTCCTGGGGAATGTCTAAACTTGAATAACTTACCAGCCACTGTAGTCTGCTGTTCTTTCTCACTAGTGTATTTCTCCGTGGAGGGTTCTAGGGTCACCATAGCCAACATGCATCTGTGGTTCCAGGCACAGATGAGTCGGTGAGACAGTGAATCAGGGCTCGGAGAAAAGCACCACTTGCCACCTTGTTCTGCATTGAGGTTTTCTTCTTAACTGGAGCCATGGGCTCATTTCAGATAGTTGCTGGGTCCTAGAGACCCCTCCCTCTTTCTCTCACACTATTTTCTAGCATCTGCACGCCAAATCTTGGAGAAGCTATGTCTCTGTTCATCATTCCATCATCTTCCTGGAAATTCCGTTAAACTTTGTTTTTATTTTGGCACCAGGGATTGAATTCAGGACCTTGCACTTGCCAGGCCAGTACTTATGCTGCTGAGCTATTTTCCTGTCCTTCTCGTTAAACTTCAAAGAAACTTCTTTTCCAGAGTGGTAGTACCACTGTAGAAGATGGCCTGCAAGTCGGTATATTTTCAGTAGTTGCCTAGGTAACAGCTCTGGTTACAGTTCCTATTACTTTCTTTTTTTTTTTTAAATTATTTATTTATTGCATTTATTTAGTGTGTGTGTGTGTGTGTGTGTGTGTGTGTGTGTGTGGCCAGCTCAGCCCACCAGGGGGCGGGGCTGGCTGGCATGTGGTGCTGGGGGATTGAACCGCGGTCCCTGTGCTTTGCCAAGCTTGTTTCAAGTAGGTGCTTTAGACCACTGAGCCATCTCTCCAGCCCCCCTATTACTTTCATTTACTATTGTGATACATAGCTGGTCACTATGATGCATGTGAATCAATCCTGAATTGACAAGCCATTCTGCTTGTATACTTCTTGCTTGCTTAGCTCTTATGGCCTGTGACTTTCCTGGCAGACAATGGAACAGAACTCTGCCTCAAAAGTCCCTTCTGTAAAAAAGTACCATCACTAATAATGAACAATTCTGAAAGCTTCACATTCTTGCTCATACTTGGCACACTGAGCTATAAACTCTGGCCCTTTTTGTTTTACGAACCGGGGATTGAACTCAGGCTCTTAAGCTTTCCAGGCAAGTGCTTAGTCTACTGAGCTAGCTCCCCAGTCCCTATTATTATTTTTTCGTGGTACTGGAGATCGAGGGCCTTGTCCATGCAAGGCATGAGCTCTACCACTGAGCCATATCCCCAGCCCCTTTTACTTTTTGAGACAGGATCAAAGTGGCTCAGGCTGTGTTCAAACTTGAGAGCCTCCTGCCTCAGCCTCTGGAGCTGTGTTGCAGGTATGATCTTCCCAGCCCTGTTGTTGCTTTTTGAAATAGG